AACAACCTTCCTCAAGACCCAGTAATACCACTTTTGGGTATATATCCAAAGGATGCTCAATCGTGCCACAAGGACAAGTGCTCAATTATGTTCATAGCAGCTTTGTTTGTCATAGCCAGAACCTGGAAACAACCTAAATGCCCCTTGATCAAAGAATGGATAAGGAAAATGTACATTTACACAATGGAGTACTAGACAGCAGAAAAAAATAACGACAACTTGGATTTTGCATGCAAATGAATGGATCTAGAAAACATTATTTTGTGTTTTCTAGACACAGAAAGACAATTATCATATTTACTCACTCATAGGTGGTTTTTATTTTTATTTATTTATTTATTTATTTATTTATTTATTTATTTATTTTTGGCTTTTCGAGACAGGGTTTCTCTGTAACTTTGGAGCCTGTCCTGGAACGGCGATAGGTGGTTTTTAAACATAAAGCAAAGAAAGCCAGAAAATATAAAAAGACAAGCTCTCCTGAGTAAATTGGGAACATGGGGATTTTGGGTGAGGGTTGAAAGGGAAAGGGGAGAGGCAGGGAGGGAAGCAGAGAAAAATGTAGAGCTCAATAAATATCAATAAAAAAATTACAAAAAAAGGAAAAAAATTCAAATAAAAAAAAAACTAAGATGGTAGTGCAATTGAGGAAGAAACCCAATGTTGCCCCCTGGCTTCCACACACCTGCCTAGGGGAGAGCGGGCGCCAATCCCATTAGAGTCACTGAACATGTTTTCAGATTTTCTTAGTAGAAAAAGATGCCTTTATTTAATTCTGCTAATTTCTCACCATTTTCTTAGTTCTGCTTTACATTTTAAATCTACAATCCTTTGAGGTTAATTTTTGTATAAGGGTTGAGGTTTAGGCCAAGTGTATTTTTAGTTGTTGCTTCATTGCCATTTGGATACCAAATATTTATTTTTTTAATTTTTATTTATTTCTTTATTTATTATGTATACAATATTCTGTCTATGTGTATGCCTGCAGGCCAGCAGAGGACACCAGACCCCATTACAGATGGTTGTGAGCCATCATGTGGTTGCTGGGAATTGAACTCAGGACCTTTGGAAGAGCAGGCAATGCTCTTAACCTCTGAGCCGTCTCTCCAGCCCCCCCCCAAATATTTATTAAACAAAAAATTGTAATACATGAACTCTCAAGACTTGCCAGT